TTATAATATTTATTAAAAAGAATAGAAAATTGTTGGTAAATTATTTATATATATATATATATAGAACAGGAGATGGAGGTGGGTAATTGGAAGAAAGTCCAAGGTAAGGACCTTCACACAGGTATTGATATTTTGTAAGTGAGCATTCTTTCTAAAGGTTGTATGCAAATATAATTAAATAAATTAAAAAACAAAATATTTCCAGCCCCATTATTTTTATGAACCTTTATTTCTTTTCAATTTAGTGTGCACCCTATGCCACATACAGATATTAGGAAACATACATTAGCATACATTAGGGATGCTTTATTTGCTACTAAATTATTGTAACCCAAGAATACTCTGGAAAGTCAATCCCATATGTAAAGGCTCAGAGGAGTCTTGGCACTGTGCAAAATCTGATAGAATTGAGCTTTTTCATCTTCTACCTCCCTGTCTTCTCTCATGCAGCAATAAGATGACTGCACTCCAGTTTTCTTCCCATCTCTCTAAAGCTAGAGATAGCATAAGAGGTAGGTTTGGTGTTATCTTAGCATTTTAGTTTTTCCTCTGTGGCAAAGATGATTACCTTGGCCCACTTTATTTTTTCCAGCAAATCTTCCAAGTTTCTTTTAACTGGAACATAATGGTGCCATGGTAAAAGGTCCATATAAAAGTGCTCATAATAAGGTGAATCCTGCTTGATCACAAGACTGTCCCCCAATAAAAGATATGGGAACCTGTAGGCTGCAACTGTGCCATCAATGCTCACTTGGTACTTATACTGTGAAATGAGAAAGGAGGACAAAGAAAGCAACATGACCAAAATGTGTTTTAGCTCAGAACTGTGTAATCCCACATTTGTGTAACTATGCTATTTTGTTTCCTGTTCTATGTTTCCCCCCCGGCCCAGTTTTTTGGTTCATACAATTGCTGTAATCTAATGTGCTGAAGATGAAACTCTGACACACAATATGGGACTTTGCAAGCTGTGGGAACTAGGAGCACGAGGATCCTAGCCTTCCCATTAGCCTTCCTGTCTCTATTGTAACTATTCGTTGATCAGTGTGTCCTATACTGAAAATTATAAGGAGTTGCCCTACTGTACTATGCAAAGCACAGGCGCTCTAGATACAGACAAACACCTTCATGGTTATTATGTCACTGTCCTAGTCAAATGACCCATAAGGGTGCCTTTAAATTGGCCAACCCATCTCCCTGGTGAAAAACACAGTCCAATTCTGAAGTGCCCTTATCCAGAACTTAGAATTTTTATTTATTAATTTAAAATCAATTGGCCAAAACACATCATAATTATGTAGGTCACTGCCACTGCTATTAATTTTAACAGTAACTCCTTATTAATGCATTACTGATATATCACTTTGTTACATTACTGTTTTTAATGGAAAAATACAAAAATTGTCAGTTATCAGTTTTTAAGGGTTTTTTTGTAAGGTTCACTCAATACCTTCCAAAGTAGTGTATTACAGGTCACACTTCTAACATATTACTTACAAACTCTTTATATCTCAGTTAAGTGGCCAGGGAATTCTCTGCAGTTCCTCTTCATTACCTAGAATCAATCTGACCTGTTTCTTTTGCTAAAAACTGTTACCTCTTTGGTTGAAATCTATCTTTACCCTGGATATTTCACACTCAGTGCTCACTTGCTCTTTGGGGCTCAGAATGTTTAGATTTCCTATAGTATAATGCTAAGATGTTTTAGGGGCTGAGTGCAAAACTTTTATAACACTGAAGCAGCCCTCAAACACAGCCTAAATGCAGGGGGGAAATGAGAACCCCTTTTTCCCGCTTTTTACTAGAAAGCTCTGACAAAGGTAGGTGGTATACCTTAAAGAAGTCAAAGAATCCCATTAATGGAACTTTTCCAAGCTCTTTTTCCTTTTCTCTGAAGAAGAAATAACTTGTTATTCCAGCATCCAATAGCTCTGGGTTTTCCTTAGAGAGCTGCACAAGCTGAAGTCGTTCTTCACAACTGTCTCGACCCCTGAAAAATGCTTGTTCAGTTTTGTTCTTCCAGACAGGTCCTGGAATGAACAGATGATACAACAAAGGGAGTTAAGAAGATGGACACTAATCTAGATGTTAATGCTTCACCTTTTAAAAAATGGCATGTTTATTCAGAGCCAGAGTAACATCTGGTTTCATAGATAGAATTCATATTGGTAGTTATGTCACTACTTCACTTTGAAAAGTAGATTCCCCAAATGTTCCCCAAAACATTATGTGTACAATGTTTTAAAGAAGGTGGAAGTCAAGTTCAACCAGTTCCTATTAGAAGGGGCTATGCAGACTAATAATTAGGTAGAAACTTCAACATCACCAACCACTTATTAGAGCATTTTATTTTTGGATTACAAATCAAGTAGTTGTTTTTGGGAGGCAGAAGGATAGAGAAATCATGTATTATCATTAAATGTGTGATTATATTAAATAGCCTTTTGAACAAACAAAACAAATATTGTATAGCATGTGGTGAAAGGCAACGGCAAAAAGAAAATCCACATCTTTTGAAGAGGATAGAGAAAATCTGGGTTTACTGCACATGGGTAGAAAAAAACATGACAAACTGACCTCTAGTTTTATACACATTTGTACACTTTCAGTATTACTATTTTGATGCATGAGGTGTACCAAGCCCTGGCATAAACTCTGGTGAATGAGCTGACAGGCAATAATGACAGTCAACAAAGATGGTCATGACCCTGCCTAACCACGTGCTCGTTCTCTTAAAAGTTCATTCACTAATGTTCACTGACAGCCAGGAGGAAAAGGAGATTGGCGAACCAATTTCAGGATGAAGAAAAAGAGGTATTGTGGCTCGTTTGTTAGTACTTGTACATGTAACAGTCCCAATTTAAGTTGCTGAAGTGAAAGACCAGCTAGGATTTGAAACAACTGACATATATACATTCTAATTTGTAATTCTAGCTGGGAATTGCAAATATTTTGTAACCCATAACAAAGTCTCTGTGCCCCTCTGAGTCATTTCAGCAGGTAAAAAACATCCTTGAAGTCACTGTGCAAAGCTCATGTTAGTGTACTAGTGTGCAGTATATGAGAGATCCCAGGACTGTCATGGGAAAATGACATAAAGACACTTTGTATATTCTTAAACTGTATGCTGTTACACTGTGGCACACTGGCACTCCTCTTGTGCCAGATCAGTGGTCCCCAACCTTAGGCCTCCAGATGTTCTGGGAGTTGAAGTCCAAGAACATCTGCAGGCCCAAGTTTGGGGACCACTGTGCTAGATGATGTCAGTGTATCAGATAAGGATGGGCCTAAAGCAGAGGTCCCCAACCTCCGGTCTGCGGCCCAGTGCCAGTCCGTGGGCTTCTCGGAACTGGGCTGCGGAGATAGATCTCTGCCCCCTGGCCCACTTGTTGGTGTGTCACACTCGTGCAGGGAGAGTGTTGCGCTTGTGGACATGGGTGTGAGCATGACACGCCCCCCCCAAGCACGGGGTGCCCCTACCTCCTGCGCACAGAGCCCACCAACCCCAACCGGTCCACGTCCCAAAAAGGTTGGGGACTGCTGGCCTAAAGAATATAATAGTACCATGTGGCCCCCTGAGTCCCACAGGTCACTGGCAGCTGATTTCCTCATCTCCCAGTATCAACTCCCCACCTGTCTTGCAATGAAAAAAAGGCTAAGGAGCCTGCCCATTATTACACATCTCAGGTTTTCTGAGAGTTAATCAGTTTTACAGTGGGAAAAGGATAGGATCTTAACATGCCAGAAGGGAAATTTCTGCATGCCGAAAAGAGGGGGTGGGGAAGAAAGTGGCCACAA